TCCTTGGAGTAGAGGAGAAAAATATGATCATAAGGGTGTCAACTCTGTTATTTGTTAATACGAGCATAAATGCGTCATGGCAGGCAGTACCATAAAGCTAAAAAGGATATTGTTATTTTTTTAATTGCTGAATTATTTGCAGAGCAAAAAATTAATCTTAGACGTAGCACGGCTTTAACGCCGGGTCTGGCGTGCCACCGCGCTGACAGAGGGCCCACAAACGGGCGGGTGGGTGACGCAATGGCGAGAAGAGGAAGGGGGGGGGCGAGGTGTTTTCGTAAATTTCATTTTCGATGCTCCTATTAGTCGATTTGCATGATTTTCACGGCGTTGTATTCAGGAAGCATGTCGCCATCGTGCTATTGACCACATTTCTTTTAAATTTGTTCTCGGAAGTTTGAGAACTAATTGCAAATTCGCGTTTTTGTTAGATTTTTGGAAAACGGTCATCGTAGCATAAATTCTATTTTAAAAAGACGTCAAATGCCGTTTACAGATCGAAAATCGAATTATTGGTTCAGACGTTATAGGTAAAGTAAATTTTATTTATTTTGGTGCTGCCACCTGGTGGCTACAAATTTTACTAGTGTCCGGACATTTAGCCTTAAAACTGTTGCATCTTTCATACCCCTTCCTTTTCTATTCTACATTGACTTTCTTCAATAAACTTCATTCACCCTTTTTTCTTAAAATATTTAACAACCAAAATAGTTAATAAAGTCATTCCTCTGTAATTGTTGCAATTTGTCTTTGTGCCTTTTTATGTAGATTTGTTTCTAAACCGTCTTGCCATTCTCTTGGCATTGTATATTCTTCCTTTGGTTTGTTGAATTGTTCTATTAATATGTGGTTCAGCTTTTTTCCTCCATATTTTACAAGTTCTCTGTGAATTTCATTTAATCCTGGGCTTTGGCTTTTTTACTAGTTCCATTTCTTCTGTTGTTATTTTTGTGTAATTTCTTGTTTCTTGTTCCTTGTTCCTTGTTCCTCGTTCCTCGTTCCTCTTCACCCATTTCCATTCTGCTATGATATTCAGTTGTCTGTGTGCGTCTGTGTGCGTGCGTGTGCGTGCGTGTGCGTGCGTGCGCGTGCGCGCGCGCGCGTGTGTGTCTATATATATATATATATATATATATATATATATATATATATTGGTCTGACTTAAGAATACAATCAATAGTACTTGGTAATTACTTTCAATAGGTTGAGCAAAATTACAACAAAACAAGAACCGTGGCTTTGTGGGGGGAGATCGTGCTCCTCTTCAATCACTGTTGTTTTGTTTTGTGATGTTAAGTAATGTAATATTTTTCTTTAAAATGTGAACAGGTAAATGGATGTTTTGTATATATAGATTTATATTTTTTATTTAACTAAATTTGAGGAATGTTTATGTATTTACAGCACATAACATAATATGGCATTGTGTATGTTGTTAATTTAAGTTTGACTTAAGAAATAGAATTGCCATAATTCATTATTTTGATATTACAAATTGAATCATGAATATTAAACAAAAAATTTACTATCACTGCTGGACTTTTGAAAAGGAAGGAATTTTTTAAAAAGATGTTGAAGAGGTTTTTAATAGTTTAAGACAAAGATCTTACCTCTTGTTGACAGGCAGCTATGTGTGCTAAATGAGACATGTTTGACACAGATCCACAGTCCTCTTCTTTAACTCTGTAGGTAATATTTCCATAATCAGTCACCTCACATCCTGAAAACGAAGTAAAGTTTCAGATTCAATAATTTTATTAATAATAATTTACACATTTTCCCTCAAAAAATTGGATTTGGGTTTAAGAAGCTTTGTTTCAGCTTTGGACAAACTGCATTTACTTGTTTTATTGTGTTAATAAATCTACTGAATTGTGATGTAATACTAGTGGCAAAATATATTGGTACAGTAAAATACTGGCTTCTGTGTAATATTAAACTACAAAACCAAACACACAGACTATTTTGAATGTTTCTCCTTTGCAAATGGTAACAGAATATTCATATTTTATAAAGTTGTCAATTTTTCAGGTGACAATTACATGGAGCATCAAAATACTGCTTTACCTTCTAAACCTACTTCTTGTTGACTTTCACAAAAACATGATGATTTATGAAGTTTTATGTTAGGTGTAAATTAATTTAATTTCATTTAATAAAAAGCTAACATTCAAGGAATATATTACTTTTTTATTTGTACAAAAGCGGATAATGTTACGAATGGTATCTCTGCTTAAATTTGTATATTATGAACAAACTCTATAAAATTCATGGGTCAAGCCCAGACATTTGGCAAAATACCGTCCTATCTTTGCTATGATTTTAAGACTTTTCACAATAGCAATCAGCAATCAAATACTTTTTTACCTGCCTGCTCAGGCCAAAATAAATGATTTTATGCCTGCCTCTTTGGGGAAAAAGAGATGCTTTTTTGCCTGCTTATTTTCCTTCACTACAGTTTCATTTTTCTTCTTTCTTTTCCTTTTTTTAAATTTTTTTAAAATGTGAAATAAGTTCATGTGTGCATAAAAATAGCCTATACATCTTCTGAATAGTCCCATTTATATAATTTTTATTGAGCTACAGTTGTAGAAAGAAAAGAAAATCACTTAGAAGGAAACTGGAAAAATAGCAGGATCTCTGTGCCAATGCATGAATTTGCTCATCATCATCATGAACTGACAAAAAATTAGGCTCTATGGCCTGTTTCTATTGGTTCATTACAGTGTTCTTGGTAGAGTCTTAGTCTTCCAATGGTTTCTCCTGTTGCTACCTCTTTAGTGGACTCCCTTTATCTCTGATGCCTATTGGTTTCTACTTCCAGATTAATTTTGGAAATCTGTTGTGGTTCATTCTCTGTAAATGATCTTTCCATCTCCTGTTCTATCTCTTTTAATAAACATTTGGTTTTCAATTTCTTTCTAATGTCTTTATTATTTAGTCTGGGTCTTCATGTGATTCCCATGAGGTGTCTTACAAATCTCATGTGTGCCACTTGTAGTTTTTGTTTGTCTCTCTCTTTTATTACCCATGTTTGAGTCATACACGATTCTAGGTTCAGCAGCTGTATTATGGAGTTTTTGTTTCTGGGTCAATGTCTCTGCCAAAGAGTCTCTTGGTTATTCCACATATTCTGTTGTAGTTATTAAGTTTGTTTTCTATGTCTTCTTGAGTTTGGTTGTATGCACTAATGATATTTCCAAGGTATGAAAATGTATTGTGTCAAAACCTTTTTATTATTCCTCATTATCTTGTCATACTAGTAGAGGTCATTTGCTTTTGGAATTATGATAGGTGTAGTTAAAAGCCTCTTGTAACAAATTAATTTCTCATACAACATAACTCCAAAAACGAACAGTGGAAAACTATATAGAATATAAAAGATTACAGGCCAAAGTGAGATGTGTCAGACAAATACACAAGAGAGAGGACTAGAGAAAATTTGTTATAAGCATAGAAAGAGATGTATCAGGCCCTCAACAAATGGGTTGCGAAGTTTTGAAACTGCTGCACATGAATGTAAAAGATAAAATTACATTAGATGGCATACCAGAAGAAAATTTGATAAAACACTACTCCACCCTGTGAAACAATCCAACTCTCAGATCCAAAGAAGTGCTAAAAGGAACAAGTCAAATCTCTGATATTCAGCTCATTTCCTCCATATCTTATAAGTTCATGTTGACCTCATCTGATCCGGGGCTTTTCCTATTTTTTACCTTTCTTAATACTACCTCGAGTTATTCTATATTCAGTGAGTTGTCTAGTTCATCACTGTCGAAGATTTGTTTTGTGAATTTAATGTAGTTTGTAACTCACTGAATTCAATGTAGTTTGTTTCTGTAATTAACCTTAAGTATATAATGATTCCCTTTTTTGAAAATATTGGTATGCGTATAATGACACATGATTTTTCTTGTGTATTTATTCTCATTTTTATTCAATTCTGTCAGAGCTAATATGTTTCCTGAATATCTATAAATTTTGTAAATATGACAATATGTTGAAAGGTTTACAATTATTTTAGACAATCAATAAATTTAAAAGAATGTATAATTTTAATCCATATGGTAGTAGTTACATTTTACACAGTTTTATGGACCAAACATGTTGATATCTTTAGGTCTGCACAGAACTGTAAATTAAACACAAAAATTCATTTTTAAAATAACATTAACTATTTTAAAATGAAAGAGTAGGATATATAAATTTAAAATCCTTAAAGAAGTAGGCTTTTGTCCAGTAGTAATGAATTATTCCCTTCTTATTTCCTCTTTCTTTCTTTTTACCTTCTTAATATGATGGGTTTAATTGAAAGTGGTGAGTCTTCACCTCTGTAATTTTTTAAATCATTTTTTAGGATTTTAAAATTAATCCAAATTTTTTTAACATATAGGCCTAATCATATTTATGAACAATCTATTTTGCTGACATAAATTTTGCTGGTTAATGAGATAAAAATACAGCTTATTTCACACAATATATGATAGTTCATGTTTGATTGTTTATTATTTAAGTTCCATTCATTAAGTAATGAAAAAGTTTGTAAATCTTATAGACAAAACATTTGTTATGTGTATTTGTTCAATTAAAATAAATTTATAAGTAAGAAATCCTGATGTTTCAACTCATCTGTTGATGTGACAAATAGAAATATCCTGTAAAAATTATTGTTATTTCTATTAAATTTTTCTTAAGAAAAGAAATAGAAACAGGGAATATGATAAATTAATACCCAATAATGTATGAAGCAGCAATACAACTTCTACATATAGACCTAAAAATTCTTTTGGCTGTAGCAATTTTTGTTCTGTTAACTTTTCAGTAGTACACAAATCAACAAAACATCACTTGTGACTTTGCCAGTTCAAATAAGCAATATAACCCCTATAAAAAGAAGTAATTTCTCTTTCATTACGTATCAGTAATAATTCAAAAATAGAAAGAAACAGAATTACTCAACCATGGATTTTTAACACTTTTTTCTATTACTTGGAGTGCTATTTCCATTTCTCCCATTTTACAGTAAGAATTTTGTACTTGCCGACTGCTTTCATGCTTTCAATAACTCCTGCCCGTCGCAGTTCATCTGGTGCCAATGCCACTCCAGAGTTGGTCTGTCAAACATTAAAAAGAAACAGTTACAAAGCCGTCAAGAACTTAATTGTTTCTTTTTATTTACTCTAGCATTGTTTTGGGGGGTCAGGGTAATGGGTGGGAGGTCACAACAGGCCACCAAGTACTTTTGTTTTTTCATAGTTTCAATTATTTTCTAAGCTGAAAATCATTTACACTGTTTGTATTATGCTTTTTGATCAAGATATGCAACTTCTTACAAATATGTTATAATTTGAGTTATTACAGCACCTTTGGCTGTGGATAAAAATTAATTTTTAACTACTTACTTGAAAATTAAACATTAAGAGCTCATTTTGTAATTACTTTGGTATTTTTAGTCTTAATTTAGTATATCACTGTATTATGAAGTTACATCAGTGCTTGTTTGACATAAAAAATGTACTATGATAGGTTATTTCAGTAGTACTGAAAAATTCTTAAATTTCAATTTCCAATCTGTGTCCAAGCATTGTACTCTCATTGACATAGACTACAATTATGAATGCATACTGAGATATAGTGTGCTCTGGTAATATATTATTTATATTATTTGTGTTCTACATTAATTAAGATGTTCTATGTTAACCACACTACGTGGTATTATTAAATATCTTATGTTGTTATATAATGGTATGTTTACTGAATATTACTATGCCTGTAAACTATAGAAATTTGATCAATGTACATGGCATCAATTCTTGATGCCAATACAAATGGTGCCTGCTTTGTCACTATATTGTTAACAGGCAAAAATATATAAAATATAAATTATTAAAAACTAAAAATGAAAATTTAACTAGATAGAAACATGTTTTGTATAAGACAATTTCAGCAGGCATCAATTTTAATTATACTCAATGAAAGACTGTTTCTCTTGTTTGACATCTATGTGTTTACAAAAAAACTCTGTTAACTTCATTGGGTGTTGGGAAGGAAGTATTCCATAAATACAAGTTGAAAAGGGCAGCCTCCAGACAGGTTCAGGGAAGGGGAAAGAGGAGGGTGCATTCCAAGCAAGGCAGTGTTGCCACATAGTCTGACACCAACATCAACATTTTGCTTTTCATATTGATTTATTATAAACAGTCAATCCCTTGTATGGGGTTTCAAATACATATCAGACACAGACCTACACATGTCTCAAGACATTATACTTGGTGCTGTAAACACTGGAAATTTATAATGAACAGTGACATTTGTCCAGGCATCTTTTTAACATAAATTTACATCTTAAAATAATCATCCTTGAACACAGATGGAATTCTGACTTTCATTTCAGAATTGTAAGTTATATAAACATCCTAAGTACATTTTTCAACTCTGGATACAGATGATGCAATAATAAAATATGTTTCCAGATGATAGAAATTTAGTTTTATTGTTGTGTAAGTAAAATTTAAATTGTGAGAAATATTTTTTTAATACAAGAGTCATCATAATTATTTAAGAAACTAGCTTACATTAATATTTAATTACAAGAAAAGTTAGCAAATAAATAGTAAAAAATTATTAATAAATAATTAAAGTAAAACTAATTTTATTCAGAAATGTTTTACAAAAAAATTCACACTAATTGTAAGAGAAAATGTATTTCATTAAATAGCAGCACTACATTAGAATACAACAGAGAATTTTTATTCTTACCTGTCCTTTATCAAAAGGGACTCCAATGACACCAACTTTCTTGTAAACATTTCTGACATGCTTCATTGCACCAATACTACGAACTGCAACACTCTGTAGCACACCTAATGCACTGATTGAAGCCATTTCAGTAGGCAGTTGAGTTTTCAACACCTCCTTTCCTTACCATCTCTGTGGCCCAACTGTTTGCTTTCCTGGTCACACAGACACTTGTGGACACAACCATTAGAAGCTATCAGCTGACAGGTCAGAATCCACTGTTTGCATCAGACTTGAGAGTGACAGTTAAATTATTGTATGAAAATATTTTAGGTCTTGAAGGAATGAAAATGTAGCCAATAAGAAAGAGAGAATTAATTTATTGACACAATGTTTTGAGCACCATGTATGCATTTTATCAGCAGCTAAATGTAAGGTTGAATAATTTATTTATTTATTTTAGTTCATTAATGCTATTATTCTTGTTATATTTAATTTCTTATTTACTGGTATTTATTTGTGCTTGTTGACGATACAAAGTTTTCCCTATTTGTATTTGTGTAGTCAATTCACCTTTACATATAATACATTTCATTTGACAATATTAAATAGTAAACTTTTCATAGTTAAATTAGTTCATCTCAACAATAAAATAATTTATTGTATGTGGCATAGCATGGTTCATATGACACATTACAATACAGCACAAAAATGTATCATATTTCTTACAATAGTAATTAATGTTTTTATATAATTACATAATATGCAATATTATATTTTCAATATTTATGTATTTAACAAGTGTGTAATTACAATATTAAAAAAAAAGAAAATCATAGAAACTCACTATTTTCAATTAAAACATATGTTTTTAATATTGTAATTGAACAATTCACAAAAATGTGTAATCTTTTTACTTGATATTGGGGCATATGGCACCTGAAACTTTGTAAATAAATTAACTCTTGTATTTCATTGGTCCATGCACTTTCACTCCCTCAAGACATAAAAAACTTTCATTTCATAATGAGAACAGGAAATGACAGAACTCAACAATATATTGCAATTTTAAAATTGATGGTTGTACTTGTGTTTCTACCTCATTTAGTTATTATCCTCATTGTTCTGTGGTATTATGTAAACTTAACTATTTAACCCGCATGAGCCCACCATTTAAAAACTGGAACAGTCAAATTCAAGTTGTTTTTTTAATTTCAAATATTCTTTTGCTAATTTTGTGACTTCAATAGACGTAGACATCCTAAATGAAACATATGCAAGTTTTTTATTCCCGATTGCCAATGTCGATTTCACCATGATCGCAAAAGCATTGTGTACACTGCTAGCCACTGTGTATTTACAACTTGCATCAGTTCAAATATTCCATTTAAGCATTTCGTATCTTCCAATTTAACTACTTAAGACAGGTTATCTCAATCTGTATTTCAATATTAACAAATATTTCTTGCTTCTTTCAGATTCATGGTACCTAGTTTAACTACAGAATGTACTTATCCATTATCAATAGAAGATGCATCATTTTACCATTTAATCTCAATTAACTTTCTTTTAATAATTTGATTAATTGTTCATTAAAGTGGGCATTTGCATACAACTGTTTTTAAATGGTGATATAAAAACTTAAGTGTAAAGACTTAACTATTGAGGGATGGAATTTCTTGAATCCAATAACAACAATTTGTTAATTTTGATTAAAATTGAAAGTGTGTTAGTAATTTTTGCTAAATAAAATGTCAAAGGAATAACTTGGGAAATCTAATAACATAGACTAATTTACAAATACAAAAATTTAGTTCAATGATATGACAAAAATATATTCCAGATGCCCATTTACATTTTCCTTAAACATAGCGGGAGAAACAAAACTTTTCACATCTCGAGGTAGCCTATTATATGTTAGTGTGTCAATATCATCACCTCCGTAAGCTGAAATTTTCAGTTATTAGAATTTTACTTCTTTGTAATTAATAGTTTAGCGAGAAGACAACACAGTTTAAAAATGTATTATTTCTTTGTACATTCTACTTCTGTGGGTTGTACCTATGATTATTAATTTATTTAGTAGATAACGAACTTGTGGATCGAGTTCATAGTTTTCGAAACATATTTTTCACAATGCTATGCTTAGGCCTATTTCATAAAAAATTATGGATCTCTTTGGCAAAAGTAGAGAACCTACTAAATATAACACTTGGATCCAGAATTTTCTAACAAACAATGAATTAATGAATCCATCCTAGAACCAATTAAATTTCATTTCTGTTCTTATTAAGGTTGTACTCGGTAATAATCATTCACCTATCCACATAAAAAATTCAACTTCGAAACAGCAATGCATTGACCACAATGTTACGATATTGTTTGTTCAACCATTGCCCTTGATTTGCATAAAGACGAAGATTTTATCAATTTTTTTTATTTGATTCCCCCTGCCCCTTTCTTCTTTTAACAGTTTTCAAGATAGAGAAATACGATGAACACTATTCTATTTGTGGTAATTTAATACATTGCATTCAACCTGTGGCCTAACCACAAAACAGTAATCTATTAACAATATCCGTTATTTCAAATACATTGGCAGGAAACCTAGAGCAATCTGCAGGCCTATGTCAGATGTGTGTCATCCAAAGGGATTGTCATGACAGTCACTCAATGTCATGAAATAGAGCTGCTAGAATTTGATGTATGCCTCATGCCTCAATGTACTAATAAAATGGAATAAAAATAAAAGAAAATACATCAATAAATTCAATAGTAACTTCATTTGAACAATCATACATACCAATGTACAAGTCACTGCTTTTATAAATTACTAACAAATTTCATCCCCTTAAGCAGCAATGCATGATGGAATGCAATCTCAAGTAACAGACATTCAATATATTTATACAGTCGAAAGTATTTTTCCCCTCTCTTTGCATTACATTTACAAAATAAAGTTATTGTCCATGAAGATTTTGTCAAGCATGTCACAAGAAACCTTACTTTACTACATATATAGCAAATGGTATTATGTACGTAAAGGTACGTCTCTTGCACAACAAAAACACTTATTGCTTCATGTCGAAGCCTCCACAGCTAAAGAAGATCCAGTTCCCATTACTTGGGACCGAGCATGTCTTGAGGTCGCACATATTTGTTGAATTCTTCCTCTGTGAGGTGTTTCAGAGCCAATGCCGCTTGTTTCAATGTTGTCCCTTCCTTGTGAGCCTTCTTGGCAATTTGTGCAGCCTGCAAAATACACGAGTAAAACATCAGAAGACCAGAACAATTGACACATCTGGAGTAGCAGCACTGTTGCAAAATATATTCAAAGAACATTTGTTTCGTACATGTGGTTGATGTTTACTGCCTACCTGATAGGAACTTGTATGTAGAACAAAGGATGTTTATAGCCCCTTTTTCTGACAGACAAAGCCTTTGATGGGCGATCACGTGAGTACAAATCAAAAAACCTTACTTTACAGTAGAACAAAGAAACGGTTGTAGTTCATACTTTGAAAATGAAAAATAAATGCAGTGTGCAGAAAAATAGTGTTTTACAACAGGATTTGCCTTGTATCATTTTACCAGATATAGAGAGAGCTGATGACGACAAAAATGTACACAACTCATTTTTGCCAAAAAAACCCTCTTGTACTCTTTATGATCGCCTGTCACAGAATTTTCATGATAAGTTTTATTATTCAATCTGTTTTTCTCTTTTATGGTTCTTTATTAAATAAAATATAATGAAATACAGGGTGAGTCACAAAACTTTAGCATCTCCTATTACTTTTGAACAGTTGAAGTTATCGCAATACAGTTTTACCGGAAGTGCATGAGGTGATGGGACTTAATTGATAAGTGTATTCATTTCTATTTTATCACTTGTATTTTTTACTAGATATGAGGTAAGTTTGTTTTTTCAAACGGAACTATACATATTTTTTCGGTCTATCATGATGAGTGTAAAAAGACAAAATGCAATGATATTCATATTGTTATACATTCAAAATGTATTTTTTTAGTAATTTTGATTTTTTTGCGTCTAATATTGAATGGATATTTTGAATGTAACAGTCTGCCACACAAGATCATGCAATGCTTTCCTCTGCTAGTATGAGCTCAGGGAAAGGAAGGGAAGGGGTCTTAGAATTTGAAGATTTGAAACATATTCCAAATATTCACAGAACTGTTACAGTGTCCTTAGTTTCAAGATCCCATTAATATCCTGTGGAATGACACTACTTTAAATGAAATTGTTTGTTATTTCAATCTTATTTCAATACATACTACTTATGAGAAATCCGTATTTTCAATCCTTAAGAAACACAAAAAATGTGAAAATGCGGAAGGATGGAAAGCAGAGTTCAGGAAAAGAGCTGCAACAGTTTTGTAAATATTTGGAACATGTTTCAAATCTTCAAATTCTAAGACCCCTTCTCTTCCTTTCCCTGAGCTCATACTAGCAGAGGGAAGCATTGCATGATCTTGTGTGGCTGACTATTGCATTCAAAATATCCTTTAAACACTAGTTGCAAAGCAATCAAAATTACTTATCTAACATAGATAAGCATTTTTTATAACATATGACAATACGTATATCATTGGATTTGTCTTTTTATGCATGTCATGATAGGCTGAAAAATATGTATAGTTCCATTTGAAAAAACAAAGTTACTTCAAATATCTTGTAAAATGCAAGTGATAAAATAGAAGAGAATACATATATCAATTAGCCCCATTCACTCATGCACCATCATGAAAACTGCATTTCAATAACTTCAACTGTTGAACATTTACAGAAGATGCTAAAGTTATGTAACTCACCCTGAATATCAGGTGAGCCTTAATTTCTCTACTAATTTATTATACTTAAAATAAATGTCACCATGTTGAATTAAAGTATTCATTAATTAGCTAGAATGAAAGATAAAATTAACAAGAAAGAAAGAGTTAAAGAAAATGCTACAAAATAACTATTTAGAAACAATAAAAGCACTGAGAGGCATTGACATAATTAACTATTTGTGAGATTTTCTTTAAAACACATTTATAGTTAATGCAATACATTCAAAATTGCCCATGCAAGAGACTAACAGTTGTAGTGTAGCATTAATTCTATTGAGTAAGAGCCCGTAAATAATAATAAATTAAATAGAGTAATACATTTTACTGAGTAATAATCAAGAACAACCAATGTATTCCAAAGTAGGTACAATGTTTTCATTTGCAAAGCACATGAATATTGAGGAAGGTAAATAAATGAAAATGGTGACAACAGGGCCAGGTCGGGCTGCACGAGAGAGCCAAGTGGGTGGGGACCAAGAGGCCCAGCTAGCTAATCATATTAGGTAATCAAATTAGGTTGAATGAAGCAAGGAATGTTGTAAGTACTCACTACATTAAAAAAGAGCAACTACTCTCACCTTATCATAACCAATGTGAGGGTTAAGTGCAGTCACCAACATGAGGGACTCGTTGAGGATCTTGTTGATGTTATCCCGGTTGGCCTTGATGCCCACGACACAGTTGTTGGTGAAAGCATTAGCACTGTCACCCAACAGCCGGATGGACCGGAGCACATTGGACACTATTTGGGGCTTGAAGACGTTCAGTTCAAAGTGGCCGTTGCTGCCACCAATGGTGACTGCCACGTGGTTGCCCATCACCTGTGCCGCCACCATGGTGATGGCTTCGCACTGGGTGGGGTTCACCTTACCTGCACACAGCACATGCGCTTGTATGACACACAAACAATTACATTGGCATGAAGGATAAATTTAATGTAGAGGCAATCAAAATGATGTTGCCATATTATTTATTTAAATCATTGACATTACAAAGTTTCTTGCAAAATTTCATATGCTGTGTGGGCATGCATTCTCAGTCAGACTTTAAATTTACAACATCAATGATTTACTCACTAACTTAAACATAATATTTCATATTAATGTTTTCACTTAACCAGTAAAACAGCACGGTCTGCCAAAGGATGAATGCGCATATGGCAAGTGAAACGGGCAAAAAACTTTATAATGATGACAATTTGAAAAATTATCACATCTTGCTTTGTTTATCTTTAAATCTTTGTGAACGCTATTAAAATTATAAATTAATCAATCTAATGATTAATGTTTAACTGTCTGTACATTCAAATAGAAAGGGTGAATGTAAAGACCATGTGGATCAAAGTCTGAAACCACTCAGCATTTACTTTGAAATCAACTATTTAACTGCTGAAATTTAGACAAAATAAAACTGACCTCTTCAGAAATGAAATCCATATTATATCAGTGTCAACTTGCCACAGAAACCAAAGTAGTATGAATATCGGTACCAAAGAAGATATACTACTCTGATAAACATTTGAATTATTTTAATTAATCTTTTGCTTCATCAGTTATGTTGGTTTACATACAGGTATAAAATACTGCACAATTTGATATTTTTTGTATTGTAATATTTATATTTAGAATTTTAATAGACATCGTAAAATGTACAAGAAGACTAAAAGAATGGATATTGTATGCCACATATGACAAGAACCTATGCTGTTCTCTTTCAATTTTTTAATAAGATACTCGGTACTTTCAAACCCTACTGTGAACATTGAATAAAGTCTAAACTTGTGTCAATGAATCAATCACTCTTTTGTCCACGAAGGTGCTTTACACTGGGCTGCCTTACCTGGCATGATGCTACTGCCTGGTTCGTTCTCCGGCAGACTGAGTTCACCCAAACCGCACCGTGGGCCAGAGGCAAGGAAGCGGATGTCGTTGGCAATCTTCATGTAACTCACAGCAACAGTGTTAAGGGCACCAGAAACCTCCACCAATGCATCGTGTGCAGCCAGTGCCTCAAACTTGTTGGGAGCCGAAACAAACGGAAGTCCTGCAATATGGAAACCAGTAGGTGAATACATCTCTATTGTTCTGAAATTGTTCTAAAGAGCTTCTCTTTACTGAGCTTTCCTAAAATTGACAAAACCTAAAAATCTTCCCATGTGTTTCAAATCCTCCCTACAGGCATTGCATTTACAGTTGACTGGATAAAATCTTTCTTTCAACTGAGATAGTTAGCCAACTTATCTTAGACTTTCATTACTTATAAAATTAATCAATACATTCTTTATCAAACTTTTATGTTTTGGCATTTTACAATTTCTTTTCAATTATATTTTAACCTAGTTCTCCTGCCTCTCATTTTTCAGCTCTTAAAACCCAGAATGAGCCCCACAGGGAAAGGTGATGAATAAATTAGCCAATAGTTCAAGGCAAATGAAAATTAAATTCAAAAATTGAACTGCTTTAGAATGCATTCAGTGGTTAAAAAATTTAAACAAAATACTAAAAATCAATTATGATAGAAAAAGAAAGCATAATTAATAAAAAATAATAAAATATAATCAGAAATGTGTGTCACAATGCACATTTTAGTACTTCTTTTCTACAAATTCTTTTTAGGGCCTTCATTAGTGCTATGAAAATCTAACTCCACCTCCGATACAGTGTATATTGAATTTACGTTTCTTAAGAATTAACACTAATTTTAAATTGCTCAGAGTATATTCTACTGACTAATAAAAACCTTAAAACCCTTGGCATTTCATTACTAAACTAAAACTACCAAATCCATTAAATGATCTTCAATATTATATTTATATCCTTAAAAGAGCTTACTTTTTGACTTTTTATTCTACAAAAATATTCATTCATCAATGACCATGTATTTTACAAAGGTTGACGTTTATCTTTTCTTTATAGCTTTCACTCAAAGACAATGAATTGCATGCTTTGCAGTACGACTGACATCAACCCTACAGCTTTTCACCTACTTCATGGGAATGTATCTCAGAAAGGTTCTTTAGTTCCTGATTTTTCACATCATTGTTCTTCATAATAAGGACCACCTGTCCTACACTTTGGAAGATATTAAAACTGATTAATAGAACAATGATACACTTCAAAGAAATAGAAAACCACCAATTAAGTTTCCTATGTAATGACACTCACATGAATTTGAAGGGAACATCTAGTGTTGTATCTATTTAATTTATCAGACTTTTATCACTGATGTTGTATTTTGTGCACAAAATGTTCCAGTATCCAAATAATTCTGCAGTTATGTAATAACAAACAAGTAGGGACGGCTTAAAGTGTGGAAAATATTTTGAACAGTCAAAAAAATATGGTGTGTTTAAAACAAGTAATGACCTATGTCAAGACATTTGTAGATACCATCTAACACTAGCAAGTTTTATTTTAAATTAGTCAAGTCTTTAGAATGAGTGTGATATAGAAACCTCAAAACCTTTTAAAACTCCAGTTCTACTTTTCTTTGGTGACTTAAATTTTCCATTCCTAATTCACTATGATTGATAAGAGTTCTACAAGTGATGTCCGAGATGTAACATATAGACAGAAATTGAGTTTTTACATAACCATTACATGTGCAAAAGTAAATGCTATTGGAGCTCACTAGTTCCATAATATTCTGACTTTTGCTGATTTTCTGATTTATGTACTTAAGTATCACTGACACAAGAACCCTATTACAAAACTCTGCCATTTAAGCTTTCTAAACACATAATTACACAACACAACTTGAGATAGGTATTCACGAATTGCTTTGCGTAGGCAGTTGGCTCGCATCCAAGAGTGACACACAATTTATGAACATGATGACCTTGAGTTGCTGTACCCAAGATACTTCTCTCCTATGGCCATGTTCTAGAAAAGTTTCCAGCTACCAAAGAACACCAAAAAAATTCACTTTTCATCGATTTAAGTTTTTATCAAGAATAGAAAAAAACTGAAAGAAATTAACCAATGTGGAGTTATATGCCAAATCCAAGCCTTTCAGTTATGTTTCTCAATCCCTTTTTTGGTACCCATTCATTCCATTTTGTGGTAGACTTCATGCCCATTAATATACTCTGGGATACAAAAAACAACAACAAAAAGCAAACACACACTTATATACCATAGTAATCTGCATCGACAAGTAACATGTCACCTTTTTGTGTCATTTTATAAACAAGATATTTTATAAATTATTTCACCCAAATTATAGTTTTTTTTACCAGAGTGAGAACAATCATCCACTAATATTAGTTGAGCTCTATCTAATTAGTGGTATATTTTAATTTCACAATGAATTTTATCTCTGTAAAATTTGACGTTGATAGAAAGAGGGGCAATAACAAATGATTTTTATCAGCATCACAAACAAAAAGGAAAGAAACAAGAAAAGAAAATAATCTTGACTCACCTGTGAGTTCACTGATTTTTGCAGCACACTTCTCAGCAAACCCAACCCGTGTATTGAGGCCTGTGCCAACTGCAGTTCCACCCAATGCCAGTTCATACAGCCTGGGCTGTGTGGCTTTCACTCGCGCAATACCGTTCTTCAGCTGGGTTGCGTATCCACTGAATTCTTGTCCCAGGGTCAAGGGCACTGCGTCCATGAGATGTGTACGCCCAATTTTGATGATGTCCTATGATCAGTTCCACAATAATGTTGTACAGCAGTCAAAATACACTATTTCAGAAAAACATCCGAATACACATAGCAGAGAGACATTGTAAACACCACTGACTCATTGGAACAAAAAGGATTACTAAATTAACATTTTACACTTTGCTCTTTCTTGCCTGAACCTCACGCTACACGGATTTCAGGGAATTCATAATCTTCAGGATTTATAACCTACCACGACCAGTTTCAATTTGAAAATAATGCGGCAAGTACAAAATGAATGATATTTTCTTGAGATTTGCTCGAAAGCACATAAAATTAATGCACTAGTAAAATAATAAACAAACTTCAATTCTCAATAAAAAATTCTGATGTCAAGGGAATATTGGAATTGCATTCCCTCTCACATACAACAAGAAAGTAACAAACAATTTTCTTTTACTGTACCTCTTTTTCTGCTTCTGTTTTGGTAGCAGCTACAGGCTGATAAGTTTATTTAACAGAAAAAAAAGCCTCACCTTGAATTCCTTTGCTTTGCTGTCAATGGCGTTATGCAGTTTCTCAAGGGCAGGCAAGAGTAGGCAATGGATCTCTCGCGCTACAGCGATGTGCATTGCAGTGGGGAACGTGTCGTTTGAACTCTGGCTTTTGTTGACATGGTCGTTAGGGTGCACGGGTGTTTTTGAACCCAACTCCCCTCCTAAAATTTCTATGGCCCGATTGCTGATCACCTGGAAATGAAGAGAGAGTGATTACAATAAAAAACTGAGTGTGATCTTAAGACTAATCATGAAACAAAAATATACAAAAGAAATTTAGTCTCTTCTAGGATCACCAAAGCAAAAATAAGGAATGTATGTAAACAGGATGGAAAAAACAATATGAAATGGAAGTGTGACTTACAACAAGAGCACCAGTGAAATTAAGCACAAAAAATTACTATGCATCACAAAAAGTACCTTTCACAAGGTGTCATGTTCCATGGTATAGCAGTCAAGTTCTAACATATGAAGTCTACCTCTAATGCAGTACTGTCATAACTTTCATGGGAGAGTTACTCTTAATTAAAGTTGGGACACTGCTGGGTCAAAGACCCTCATCTTGACCACATTTTTCATTAAATTTCCCTCATCTAGTGAGCAAACGCTGAGATTGCTTGTTTTGCTTCTGGTCATAAATGTAGCTTCGCTAGATGCACAATTTGTTGAGTTCTTTTTTTTTTTCTTCCTAGCAGGCAATGTGAGTTTCTATTTTGTTAGCAATACTACGACGTCTTGCAATCATGAAGGTTACGCAAATTCAAGTCATCGTGTGTTCCTGGTAGGGTGACCCAAACTGGGACACATGTTTACGGGACGCATAAAAACTCGGAAACAATTTTTTTTACTATTTAATATTTGGAAAAATACAAAAATCAAATCTTTGTATATCACAAATAAGTATTACTAAGGAGCACAAACATATGATGTTCAAATATTGCCTACCTTTTTCTTTGATGTTAATTCATTCATGATTTAACAACATACAGTAATAGATCGAATAGGGATTCTAGAACTGAAGGAAACCAGTGCAGGGTTTACTGTACCCGCCACATCACATACAGTTCACTGAGGTTCCGGGTCTGATAGAACATGTGAAATTTGTTGAAAAGCAAGAGTTTGCATGCTTCACAGGGGCTAGTCCAACCCCTGTGAAGTGTCCTAAACGCAACCCCAATCCAAATTCCTTCCCAATTCTGCCCGCCGCCCTAGTGATGCAAGGGCGCACAGTAGGAGGCGCATATGCAGAGACGCTACTTGGTGGTCCTCTTGAAAACTGACTGCGATGAGACATGACATGACGTATATGAATTAATGGAGGATTACTTCGAAAGCACAAAGCACTCTACTACCCCGCGGGGCTTGGAAACGCATTGTTTCATAAAAGAAGCAAAAAAAAAGTTTGCTACCATTGTTTGATGAAAAATAATTCAAACCTTGAGGCGATGTAGCCACTGCGTACCTCATTGGTGTTCATATTAGTTTGTGTTCCTGATCCAGTCTGCCAAATTACCAAAGGAAAATGGTCATTGTAGAGTTTGCCAGATATCACATCATCTGCAGCTTGAGCAATTGCATCTGCAAGCTTGGGGTCAAGTCCATATTCTTTGTTGACAAGTGCAGCAGCTTTCTTCAAAATGCCCATTGCAGTAATAATAGGATACTAGAAAAGAAACAGAATTGTAAAGAAAAGCATTATGAGCAAAAAAAGTTTGATAATGACTAAAACCTCAATAAAAAAAGTATCAACCCCTAAAAACATGTCAAAAACAAAAATTACATTTACTACAATATAAATGACAATTTGTTTACTATAAACCAGCTGTGATGGTTTTATTATTCATTTTCTAACAGTTGGGGCGTTTCCAATTATTTGAGACAATTGGGATAAAATACAAAAGATATATATTTAACCATTTAGCACCACGAATATTACATTATTTTATGCAGAAAAACTGCTAAGCCCAAGGAAGAAAAATAGAAAAAAGCATACAGGCATTCGTTCCGTTGGTCCACCAATAGGAAAATTCATTACAGACCGGACAGTCTGAGCTCCATAGTACTTATCAGCTTCCACTTCCAATTCTCCAAAAGTATCTCTTTCTTTCCTGGTTTTCTTTGCCTGCGTAAACAAAGCAATAACAATAAGAGATGTTCATTTCATTCCAAAATATTAAATTCACAGAAAAATATAAACATTATAATAATAATAAAATAATAATAATAATAATAATAATAATAATAATAATAATAAAATAATATTTTGTATTGCTTCCAGACTTATACAAATATCAATCTACGTCAGTTTCAGGACATTTATTCAATTTTTAACAATAGTATTGAATTAACAATAATAATTTAACTCACAATAATATTAAGTTCCTTACAGTAGTAAATTACTACTGTATAGTCACTGTGTTTGTAATTGCTTCATTATATTACAACAATATATCAGAATCATACATAAATTTAACAGTGTAACTTCCAATAAAACAGTAATCGTTGCTTTTGCTTTTAATAATACTTAGAATTTAGAAAAATAAAATTGTAATAACTTTCAATAAATATTACATTAATTAGCATTACTGTTAAATATATTAACTAGTTATAACAATTGCTTCTAACATGGGAGTGTCTTGCTATGGTGCAAAGTAAATTACATATTGATGCAACTTTTATCATCAGCTCTCAAATTTTATGTGTGGAAGAAAAAAACTTAACAAATACGTGAAATTAATAGTTTTAACAGAACCTGATGCATTTTGTTCTCACTGAAATTCAAAACCAGCAGCTGTGAGACCTTGCTAGACATAGCATCTGTCAATTTTTTTAAAAAGTAGTTTTTAAAGGTAATCTCAAAATAAAGATGACAATTCTAAATGACACAAGAGATAAATGAATATCTTGCAAAAGTATTGAAAACCTTTCAAAACACTATTGTTTCTTATCCGATACTGTCATATCAAGTAAATATTTTGTTATCACATCATCTGTAACACATTTCAGTACCACCAAATCAAAACTACACTATCAAGAAATTAATATATGTAAAATAAATGTTGTTGATTTATTAACAAATACCAAGAGAGAAATGAACCTTGCAATCAACTTATTATCGTGATAAAAATAGCTTCACCCCTGCTGTCTTTTAATAGATGCAGTTCGTCAGGTACATGAATTTTGCTTACCGCTTGCATGTTGATACTAGTTGTATTAAATGTAGCGCATAACACTCTCGTTGGCTTCACGCGAGCGTGCCGTAAATGCACAGCAACTGCCCGCCCTAAGCGGGAAACAGGAATTGAGAAAGCCATATCAAGCGACTTACAATCCGGCCGTGAACCCTAAAGTCTTTCGTTCACTCGGGACGAATGAACGCGTTACGTAAGGAAGGAATATGCAAGAACGATTGTGAGTTCCGTGTGAAACAATCTCACAAAATCGCACCGGCGTAGTGTTGCGTTTCAATGAACTTTCGCATTGTTGCTCACAAAACTGCGTACTATTTAGCAGTTTCTAAAAATTGGAGTTAAAAGAATGAGGAAAAGTAAAAGAACGTAATAAATTCAGAGGGCTTGCTTTTATATTTCTACATTTATATAGCACAAATGTGATGGAGTCGTTATTTTTATTCAGGATAATAGAGCATATTATAATTTCTGAACTAAAAAACTGTTTTTGACGTTTTGTCCTTTGCATCTTCCGTTCACCTATTGCGGACATGCGATAACCAACTTTAGAAGCCAAACTTCTCCTGTCGAGAGACTATCCGAATTCATGTGCTCACATTGGCAACCCTTATAGAAACACTGCAGCACTCGGTCATCGCTAGCGACCAAAACTCAAAAAATGGCGGCCAGGTAGCAGCACTGTGGACTACGGCAGATCATCAGCAATACATCACTTATTCGCGTTCGGCGAAACAATTGTTGTGGGAGCGAGGTGTCAGTGGTGATGTCTTGCTGAAGTATGGAAATATCGTGATAAATTAAGTGCGTTCGGAGTAGTGAAGTGTTTCAACCTCTGGATGTAACAAAACTGAAACAACCGGCACTGGAAGTTTCTTCATGTGAGTAGCAGAATGAAAGTGATAGTGTAGATTCAGAACTTTATCGATAAGATGCGGATGTGCACGGGGACAAGGTTACGTGGGTGATTTTTTTTCATCTGCCAATTTTGTAGTTACTCTGCCTCGATTCTGTTGTGAGAGATTCGAAGTTATATGTTATGAATGAATGACTTGTCTGATCAGTTGGCACTATTCTTGTATTCTGTGTTAGGTAAGTCTTACTTAAGATAATGTCAGTTTTGAAGAGTGAGTGTTAGGTATTTAATATGTTCATTTTCTGATATTGTAAACGTGTTGATAATGATTTTTCATACCGAAGAATATTTCTTACTAATCATTCTTAATTTTAAATTGTGTAATTGTTTACAAGCTCATGTTCTGTATTAACTCAATGTTTTAGTTTTGGGAATGGCTCTGAACTAAATGTAAAATATATTTTCTATTTATGTATACTCCTGAAAATGTTAGAAACTATATTTTCAAATGTAAAGGTTTCATTTGTGTCAGCAATGCACTTGTATAATGGTTGTAGTGGTAATTTCGAAGGTAGGACACTATAGAATTCTTGAGAAATGAAATTTCTGATAAGATGAAGCCAAGTTGTTGAGGATGAGTAGTTTTGCCTTTGAACTTACCACTCTGATTCGTACTGCTTGATTATGCAACATCATTATCTACCCCCCCCCCCCTTTCTTTTCATTTGAGTGTTCAAATAATCAGAGAACAGTACCATTAAGAGATTCATAGTGTCAGTATCAGTGTAACAGTGCTGCTTTACTGTGTGTGGAAACAGTGCCATTTTATTTCATCAGGTGATGTATGTTTGGCTTAATGGTTAACAGCAGTGTGAGCGTTTCAGTGTTTGAACAGTGAAACTTCCTGAATACTCACATGAGCCAATTCTAAGACTCTTTGAGATAGCATTATCTCTGTATTAATTGCTGAATTTCTTTAAATTACAACCAAGTGGATCTTCATTTTTAAAAAAAATATGATAAATAGTTCTAGCATTAATGGGAATTGGGGACTCAGAGGCCCACTGATTATTATTAGTTTTTCAAAGGTTTCAGTTTTTTTTAGGAAGCTGAAAATCATTGATATTGTTTCTGATGTTCTTTTTGTTCTAAATATGTTGCTGTTCATCTCAAGTGCTAGTCGTTATTCGAATTATTACTGTATTCTTAGCTGTGGGTACAAGGAAATGCTTCCTTATTTCAACTATTCTTGTTCTTTTTGAGCAAAAATGTTTATAGCTCCATTTATTTGTCTTATTAGAGTTCTGAGTTCACATTCCTCCCAGTGGCTAACCATAAAGAGCAAGCATGTTTTCGTAGAAATTTTATCAAAGACAATTAGGCTAAAATTCTATGGGACAATTAAATTAAATGGCTAAGTTTTTTAAAGATGATAAGATTAAAGTAATGACAAACTGTGCTAGAAGTGGCAATGATAGTTTGCAAAGTACATACCAAAAATATGCTTTTTAGAAGGGAAGTAATCATAGAATAATACACTAAGTTAAAATTCGAAATATTTGTTTACAATAATAAATGAATGGTTAACCAGAAATACATGAAAACTAGACCAGATCCTATATTTTCACACTAACACATTTATATTCTTGTATTAAAATACAACAAGGCAAAATTTGCTCTCCTTTGATCTTGCATGATATCAATTTTACATTGGTCTTACTAGGGTTGAGACAGGTTGCTGTTGTGAGGTGTAACGCAGGAATTCCTTCTACAAATTAATCTGTTTGGGAAAAAAATCTCTTACCAATTGAAATTTTCTCCTGAACTCCTGTCTTTTCTCCTGTTAAAGATAAATTAGTGTTTTATATTTTTCATCACTAAAGTCTAGCGCTAGATTTTGTATGTAATTACTCGTTTGTGTACTCATTAGCTACTGGCTTTTGTTTTGTTTACTTTGGATTTTAATATGATTTTAAATCTATTTGATTATCCCTATTTCTAGGAATAGTAAATATTTTCTCACATTTAAGGAAAATTTATACATTTTTCATCTTTTAACGTATTTGCTGTGTGTCTCATATTATAGTCTTTTAAAATTATTAAAGAAAGATTTTTTTTATGCAATTAAAAATTAAGGATCAGGTTTAGACGTAGAACCACAATATATTGCAAGGTTCAAGGAGAACTTCGTACTACGTCTAGGCTGAGTGGTATTTTAGCCAGTGCAAAGTAATATTGAGAGATAAAAAGACCATCACATTTGATCACACAAAATGCTGCTTTGTATCCCACTGCTTATTTGAAATAATCAGAAAAGGAATAAGAAACTTACATTTGATATTACAATAAGGTTCTGTCTACTTCAGTACATGATTATGTGTTATTAAGCAGCCTCTTTTACAACTAGTTCTTTGTCCGTCCAATTTATGTAACTTTAATGCTTCATTACTACATTATCTTAATTGTGTAAATCCTTTTTGCTCAGTTATTAATTAATGTTTACACCAGATTTTGATCATGTGTATACGTACATATTTAGGTACATGTTATTCCATATAAATCTTAGCCCTAGTTATGTCTTTCAATCAAGTTGCGTTTATTAGTACTCTAGAATGTTGCTTCATTCCCATTTCATGAGTGTAGGCTTATAAAGTGAATTGAATGTTTAATAAGCAGATCCACTGACAAATATATTTATGTTTGTGTTCTTTGTTGATAATGATAGAGCTCAGTTACCTTAATGCAGATAAGTTTTGATGATTCAGAATTCATTTGTTCTGGCATTTGTGGAGCACTCTCTGAACCAGATATTGTTTACTGATGTATCTGATTCCTGGATTTATGTGATTTTATTTTCGTAAGGTATTTAGACACCTTTAAAGTAACTTGCCATGTTAAGAAAGTTCTTTGCTTGTCTGTCAGGTCTTCTTTCCTTTGCAAATGTACTGTTGACTTCTAATGCCTCCTTAGTTGTTGACAATAAAAAAGGTTTCTCATAGTTGAGGGAGAGGTGTAGTGTTCATTGTCAATAAGGAATCCTTAGAAAATATTTTCTCCATCCTGCATCAAAAGAGTATTTTTTTGCTTTGATGTTACTCTTCATTTGTTTAATTGTTTTATTTTGTTCATATTGTTAGGAGAGTAGTCAGTTACAGACAATCACCAAATGGAAGAAAATTCTCAGTACATGAGAATTTTACTTTCATTACTTTGAAAAAAAAAACAACAGATTTGTGGTTAAATGTGACCAGATGTTCAGGTGGAGGTTCTGTAAATTTTCTACAGAACTATGTTGAAAGTTAAATTATATTGTCAAAGCTAGTAAAAAACATTGGTAGAGTTATAGGTAGAGACCTTTACCAAACATATTTTACTAGTTTGCTATTGTGTTATTTAATTATCAAAACAGTTTTATTGTAAATATTCAGAACCTCCACCTGAAGATGTGGATTGTCTCAACGAATGGAAAATAAATACCTTTTAGAATTTTAGGTGAGTTTTTCCCCCCTCCAAATCTTCAGTTATTTTTAATTATATTCTTCTGGTTTGGGTACTTCAACATTTCTTGTATTATATTACGTGTATTATATTATGGAGCAGGAGGTACAGATATTGAAATTTGAAGAGCTAAATGTATGTCCAGTGTCTTCTTCACGATTTCCATTTCAGTAATTAGAAAGCTGAAGTACAGATCAAAATTCTTTACTACTAACTCTCATTCTAACTCTCTTTACTTCTAACAATGGTGAGCCTGGGAAATTGTCTGTAAACCTTCTCAAGAGATATTGCAGTGAAGACATTGAGTTGGTCGTAAGAGGAAGCCGCCTTCTTTCCTGTGAAAGGAGTTCAAATGTTTGTGAAATGTTTGAATGTCATGAAGCAATGAAGCAAGGATATTACCTATCAACCAGTTAATAATTGTGATACAATGGGTTAGAAAATATACAGCGTGTTGTCCTGTGGATTAGTGAAAAATGTATTCATCATCTCATGTAGTCCTTGTTGATATAAATAGGAACTAATTGTTGTTGTGTTATTCAGTTATATTTCTACTTACAGTGAATTGAATATAACTAGGCAGTCTTTAGATCCTTAACAAAGTACAGGCTTCTATATTTCTTCTTTATTGACGCTGTGCCTTCAAATGTAGTATAGTTATTTTCCTCACAGTGTGTTTTCCTTTTTAATTCGTCAGTGGATTCCTCTAATGTGCATTGCATTGTAGAAGGTATATTTCTTTCAGCTTTGTTGTTGACCACAAAAAGATTTATTGAAGAATTTCAGAAGTGTAGTGTGTTTGAAGGTGAAATGTGATTCTTAAGGATCAATGATACACAGTTTACTAATCAAGGCTTGGCTAATAAAGCCAGTTTTGTTTTTGTTGAGCTATACTGGTGAAAATATTCCCTCTAAAATATATATAGTTTTAAATGTATAAGTATTGCGTTTATTTGCTTGGTAGAAAAATAAATTCCTTTTTCACCTGATTGTGCCATTTACCTTGCAATGTGTTTCTGGACTTCTATTAAAAGAAAAAAATGATATATTCAAATACTGAATTTATTTCAGAATTGTCTATATCAGTATCTTGAGTACTTGATAGACCTAGTGTCAGATTCTATTTCTGTTTTTAGAATGATTTTGCAAACTACAGTTTAAACTGCTTATTGTAAAATTTTTGTTGTTGTGGAGACCAAA